TAGAGTATTCCGCATTGATGAACGTACGAGAAATGACCTCATTACGCCATGGATGCACACGCATAACGGATTGGTTAAATCCAGTGATAAATAAATTGATAAAAGTGACACTCAAACAGATCAGTGATGCCCAATCGCATAATTTCCATCAGGTAAATTATTTCACGTGTAATAATGTAATTGGTGTTAAGCATTGATTATTTATTGATTGTATTGTTTACTCAAATAGCTGACTCTGGAATATCCAAGGATATTAACTCCTGATAATGTTTGGATAGTTGGAATTACTCAAGAACCGTCCACTCGGAGATATTATTTGGTTTTCTATTATGATGTACGTGAAATACTGGACAAGATTATGCAACCTTACCATCGCAGCGGATACGGAGATATTAAATACATGCAGTATAGCGACTTTTACGAAACCAAAGAGATCGGATCTGGTGGCTACGGAACAGTTTATTCTGCCAAATATAAAAAGTATAAAGTAGAGGGTATGCAAGAAACTGTCATACTCAAGCGGTTTAAGAATTTTGATGAAATGTCGGAATTATTTGTTTCAGAGGTAAGCAATAATTGATAGAGTGGTATTAAATTTGACCGCTGTACTTATTATTATTAATGCTTAGTAGTTCAGAAATCATGCAACTTGCAGACACCGGCATTCATTCCTTGATATTTATGGAGTGACACAAGACCCAGAAACACACGAGTACATGATTGTTATGCAATATGCTAACAATGGTAATCTTTTGTCTTATTTGGATCAAAATATTAACAAATTGACGTGGAAGATGAAATTACAACATTTGAGGGATATTGCATTGTATCTGTACTGTATTCATGGTGCAGGGTTAGTTCATTGTGATCTACATGGTGGAAACATTGTTATGCATGTCAATATGGATGACAATATAAATACGCGTAAGGTAGAATCATTTATATGCGATCTTGGACTCTCACGATCGGTGAATTCACACGAGTCCAATTCAACCATTCAAGGCGTTTTACCCTTTATTGCACCGGAAGTCTTCCATACCTGCAAATTTACTAAGAAATCAGATGTGTATTCATTTGGTATTATCATGTATTTGATTGCTACTGGCGAGCCACCGTTTAGAAATAGGCAGTTTAACAGAGACTTGGTATGCGATATTCTGGGCGGACTACGACCATCGATGCCTGATTCTGCACCAGAGGAATACAAGAAACTTGCCGAGCGGTGTTGTGATGCTGATCCTGATAAGCGTTGTGATGTAGTGACACTTCGGTTTGATATTGACGAGATGATTGAAGAAATTGATGAGAATAAGCCTAATGACAACGCGTGGCATACTGTTTATCATACTGATGTGAAACCCTTATCACGTTTCGAAAAGGAGAGTAAATACTCTAGTAAACTCTTACCTACTGGAAATTTACCTAAACCAAGTAATAGTTATGAGACGTCAATTGAGTTATAGAAGAGGACAATACGTTGTAAATAGTAAGCCATTTACAAATATCTAGTATTATTAGCGTTTTTTAACATCGGATTATAGTTGATATATTTATTCGGTTCTTGGGCGTTATTAATTTAATTAAATTGGAAATTTATGTTATATGAAGTCAAAAGCAATAAATATTACGCACAATAAAATAAGCTTGTCAAAACGTTTTTATCTTTGGGATAGTCGTAAACGCTGTAACATTGTTACTACAGATATGTCATACAATATTTTTAAACGCAAAGTTTGTGAGAAATAAATTTTCACAAGTTTTTTATTGGACGTTGGTAAAAATTTTCTTTAGTTAAACATCGAATTCCGAAACAATAATGTAAGTTATGTACTTTTAAACTAAACCATTGGTATGACTAGTGTTTTACTTGACTGAACTTTGGCAATAACAATAAACAATAGAGCCGGTTAATCAATGACTTGATAATGATTAGGAAAGTAATATTTCTTGCCGCAAAAGAATAAGTCGATATTTGGAAAGTGTCGCAAATACATGCCAAAAAATACCGGAAAACACAGTCAAACTGATCTTTGAATATTTGTCTTCAATTTGTTTGAATTAGCTTTCCTGCTATACACAGATACCATCTTTAAAGCCGGTAACTTGAAGAAAGCAGTTTGTAAGAATGGGCAAAAGTGAGAATAAAATTTAGAGTAATATTGAATACGAAAATGTGAAAGAGTTGTGAGTGTATTGAAGCGGTAATTTAAATTGACACCTGTATTGATAGTCTCAGTCCGTTTGCAGTAGTGGACAGTTTGGCGTCGGTGTTGTCAAAGTGTGGTCCTCGCCAGTAGTCTGTCTATCGTGCTATGCATCTTTCAAACTCTGATTGTTTCGGGTTTTAACTCGCACCAATCTCAACATTTCAACAACAAACAGTTATATAACAAAAAACATGTTCAGTAAAACTGTCTTCTATTACACAATGCAAATAGAGATACGGATACACGTTTTATTATTATTTTTGTTTGGGTAGAAAGTTTTCGCCAAGAATTTTGTCCAACTAAGATCACATGACCAGAAACATACGTTCTGGTCACTTTGCATGTATGTGATCTCTTGGCGAGTAAATTTTCTGCAGACAATTTATCGGTCATCCGCAAGCACAAGTCCCCTCCAAGGAACGTTCCGCTGAATCACGCTATTTTGTGTGATATCATGTAAAATTCGGTGATTTGGTTCACTACAGCCAGAGTTTCGTATTAACAAGGTTCATTTCGACTGTACTTCATACTTAACATTAATCCTCACAATAAATAACCTCATGGCGATAGTTATTGTTAGATTATTGTATTACAAGAATTAATGACGAGATTACTAATAATAAACGAGTGAAGACACACGTGCATAGAGACATTATTGGGAATTACGTCTAGTCAAATTCTGTCATACCAGTCATCGCATGTTATTTATCCACAACTTGCACATTGACGATTCCCATCCGAATCTTTTGATCCTATTAACCATGAATATAAAGACAATCTGGACAAGTTTATTGCAGTATGTAACAGAAGGGGGTTGAGATTTGTTGATCTGAACCATTTGTGCTTATCCATTATGTTACTAGGTACGAAACGTTCAAAATGGTAAAAGTCAAAGAGTGAGTGTTGCCGCAGTAATGCCGTCCTTTTTTTTTTTTTTTTGCTTTCAAATTCAAAGAGATTGATCGTCTTTGCTTTGTTTATGTGTCTAGCCTAAGACTTGGAGGTCTATACCGCTCATTCCAACTGGCAATCTTTGTGTATATCTTATATTCAATAGTTATTAGCGAAGGGTATTTACACAAGGTACACTTGGGGCATTACGGTGTGTCACGTTCTACAATATAGTGCTGATTTTTTGACCCGTTCCCGTTCTAGGAACCACCAGTTAACGGCGCGGTCAGAATCTCACTTCAAGCACCACAGGCATTGTCAACCCCGCAATATTGCAACAACCCTCTTCCATGTGTATTCTGGGGAGCAAACGAAAGTAAGTAGAGGCGTTGCATGTTAGACGAGGGAAACACGTGTGCACATGCAACTGACAACGGTTAAATAATTGCACAAATTCTATACGAATCTGCGTTCATCTAATCGTTCTCCTCATAATCCATGTTTCAGTTCAATATCCGTCGGATAATGCAGGCGTAGCCTTTCTAACAACCCGAGCCATAGTTCGCCGGTACATCCCCGCAACTGGCTGTAATTTCCTAACGCCATCCACACCGACCGACAGCTGCGTTTTTAACGAAAAAACGACACCGTTCGAAATCATTGCCAACCAATCGTACATTGGCGACATTGAAGACTACACACTGATGATAGAACACTCCATCCGGGGCAAAGCGACAACGATCGCTGTTCGCAACGGCCTGATGGACGGCAAACTCATGGCGGCCGACGGCAAGACAGTAGTCAAGTCATGGACGAACGCGACGCGAATGGACGAAAACCCATACGCGGACGGAGACATTATCAAAGTATCCGATCTACTAACTGCCGCCGGAGCGGATTTAGAGGCACCGTCGACCGCACCGGGTGCCAACAGAACGGCCGGCGAAACGTACAGATCTTCGGGAATCGTCATTGTGATTGTGATTGAATACAGTAACGTGCAATTCAAAGGGGATAAATTCGCGTACGCGTATCTTCCTCGAGTCATAGATGGAAACGAGTACAAGGCGGTCGAGAGTCTGTATCAGTCGGACGGGTCGTACATACTAAAAGAGAGACATGGCATTCGATTGGTGTTCCAGCAGCATGGGGAAATTGGACAAATCAGCTTGATTTCATTGCTCACAAACATCGTTGCCGCTTTCGCTCTTTTCAAAGTGGCGACTATCATAGTGGAGATTCTGATGCTGAACATCGTACCGGAGAAACATATCTATGAAAAGGCAAAGTTTGAAGTGGCAGCGCCTGGCTTTGACAATACGTATTCGAAGGGATCTGTTATTGAGATGGAAACTTAGTGTAAATGAAAGAAAGAATTAATAGTGACGGGATTGCTGTTATATTATAGTTATCACTCTGGAACTATGGTTAATATTACACGTGTTAATTTCTTCACGTAACCATACTTTTCGAATGACTGATTGAAAACGGAGATGACGAAAATGGAACACTTTGCCGGTTCGGTTATGCCCATCACATTGCAATGGGTCCTTACTCTCAATATATTATCAATATATTATCTAATACCACTGAAAATAAACTTTTTTATCAAATTATCGACGTTCCCATACTTGTGCTGATCAAATAATCTTATGAACTATATATGTTATATTAAGATGACCCTTCCCAGCGCCCGTTTCCCACGACACGCAAACTTGCTGTCCATTACGACGAAAAGGCATTGTGATAATATCAAGCTACACTTTTTCGTCCCACACTTTTGGCTTGCCTCTAGTCAGATTTTGAAGTTGACTATGTGAACAACATTCCGATATTGCAACTTGCATTTTATACATACAAGGGCGCCATTTAGGAATTCTTTCGATATTCAGGTATTTTAGTTGGACGTATCATGAGTAGATCAAACAAGAAAATTCATCGGCTAACTCGCGTATTAATAAACATAGAATGTCTCTAATCAGCAAAATCTATGAAGAACGCAGCGAAATGCGAGAAGTAGTGTGAATTGCAGAACTTTGTGAACCATCGAATCTTTGAACGCGCGTATTAGACATGTCTGATTGAGGGCACCATTTAACAAATAATGTGCGAGGGCCGTGCATATGCGCAGTTACAGTGTGTACGATGTGGCACCCCGTCCTTGAATAGTATTTTCCAACTAGAATGTAGTGCAGTAACCAACTTTTGATCGTAGAATCGTGGCACGCTTAAAGAGTTGAATGGTGAGTAAAAAAAGTTCATTTTTGATACAGGCGTTGAGAAACTGGGATACGGTCTAACATTTTAATTGACATGTTGTAGTTGTCGTAACGCATAATGCTCTCGAACGATATTGATAACGACTCTGCGCGGGACGGACACGTTTCTAGCCACACCACCATGATTTTGAACAGTGGAATAGTTATTGTTGAAACCGATGACGGAAATCTCTGGCATTATGGAAATGGCCCGCATTAGTAGAAAGACACGAGCCAATGATCAGTCTACTTGCAAGCTAATTATGAACTCTCAGAAACAGTGCATAACATGATTCCGGCTTTCGGATAATTCCTTCGGCGTGGTGAATATCGTCATAGTATCTATGGCATTGGCGACATAAATAGTACGAGTGTTGCGGATAAAGACAAAAGCAAGATTATTGTAAGCACCAGATTCGAACCAGAAATAAATTCATTTGCAAGAAAAATTGATATAGTATAAAAGATGAATGCACATCAGGAAATGACGTTTCATTCAGCAAGTACATTTTGGTATGAACTACGGATGTGATTCTAGGATTATCAATTTTGTTATCAATTCCACATGCCAATAGCATTCACATCCTGCAAGTGCCAAGAAAACCGGTTATACGACTTTTTATCGAGGAGATGCGTTCTGATAATACAACCGTCGTCAACTGGAGTGTCAAAAAAAAGGAGCCTCCAGAACTCTGTCATCTCAGTTTTGGAACTCCAAAATACAATAGCGTTGTTATAATCAAATCATAAATCTTGCTGACACTAAATTTCTATTGACACATTGTAATATTTGTAAGACACGTTGCTGGCGGTACGCGTTCTTCGTCTCTATCCGTCCGTCATGTGCTGTGCAAGGCAAATAACATAGCCGTGTGTCCAAGGCCGATTAACCACAGTTTACAAGTTTGTTACGAAAATATTGATTACACAATTAACCTCTAAAAGTTTATTTAATATAAAAGCGAGAATAGGTATGTTTCGACTTTAAAATATGTACACAACTGTGAAAAAAAAAAAAAAAAAACAACTCGATTTTGGATAGAAGAGCCTTGCAAGTTACCGCATTATAAAATAAGTATTATTATTGTATACCGTCCAAAAAGCACCCCAACCCACCGATTGCGATGCCAACTGCTACCATTGTCCAGTCCATCTTCTAGAACAGTATATTATTTACATATACCAGTGTTGGCCAAACCTTTCCATGCATTCCCATTCCATGCTAACATTTCATCGTAAGCGTACGTCAACGTCAACCGTTTTCGTCTTTAAAGATGGGGTAATAAAATGCACCAAGTCCATATTCTGATTCGGTATTAAAGTAAAGTCAAAGTTCAACAGCAAAGAAGCCAAAATCAATCTCATTTCAGTCCAAGCAAAATGTTGTCCGATGCAAATGCGCGATCCCGCACCAAAGCCGTAGAAACAGTTACGAGGCACCTTGTCTGGATCGAGCCATCGTTCCAAGACCCATTCCTCGGCATCAGGACCCCAATACTCTTTAGAGTTTTGAACATGACCAAAGAATGCGTCAACGGACGTGTTTTTGGGAATGAAATAACCGCCAATCATGGTATCAGATTTGGTCAGCCTGATGAGACCGCTGAGGGCGACGGGAAATTTGCGCATGGTTTCGTTGAGGGCGGCATTAAGATGTTTGAGATTTTTTAGACTATCGTGATTGGGAATGAACAAGTTTGACGGATCGGCCTTGTCGCGGACGCCCGGAAACGCTTCGTCCAATTCTGCGACTAGTGATTGTAGCGACTTTGGATTGTGAACAAGGTATGCCAGAGCCATGCTAGCCGTGAACGAACTCGTGTCACTTCCGGCAATTACAAATTCCATGACTTGATCGTACATTTCGAATTCGGTCAAGCCTTTTCCGGTATCTTCGTCTCTAGCGTCAATGACGATTTGAAGAATGTCATTGCGTCGTACTCCTTTTTCGTTTTGAGCAATTCGTTCTCGAATTAAATTGGTGATAAACTGTATCAAGAAGAAAAAGAAGGGAGGGAATAAGAATGTGTGTTTCATACGTGTGTGTGTGCGTGTGAGTGTGTGTGTATGTATATGTGTGTATGTATGTGTGTACCGCGCGCGATAAATCAAGACGAATACAAACAAACAAACAAGCAAACAACCTTTCCCTTTCCCTCTCTCCACCTCTTTGTGTTTTTTTCGTACTTACTTTTTCCGTGTAAGCGTCTTGCGGTAAGAAAGATCTTAGCAAAGGAAACGCTCCACGAATTACACGCATTCTAAGCTCTTCAAAGATCTTCTTTGGTAACGGATGATCACCCTTTTCCACTATATTGAACGATCCTCCGAAAGCGGTTTCGCCAATCACGTCGATTGCGGTTGCTTGTATCCATTGATAGATGTTTATCCGTGCCGGTTTCTCAGAGCCGTTGGTGATAACAGTGTCGCGTATCTTTTGCACGAGAACTTGAATGCAAGAACGCATGAGAGGTTCGAGTGAAGAGATGTATTTGCTAGTGAATGCCGGTGATAATAATCGTCTCCGGACTTTGTGGAAGATCTTGTCATCTGCGGTAAAGAGCGTTTGGAACGCCGGGTCGACTCTAATTCCGGAAATCGTAGGGCTTTTTGGAAGATCCTATCGAAAAAAGAAATTCGAAAAGGGTTTAGTTATATATGTATATATTTTTTTTCGGGATTATCTGGGATGTGATGGGAAATCACCCATACTCACATCTGATACGAGTATCTGCCTGACAGCGTCCCTGTCAGCAAACAAAACCATATTTGGAGCTATGCGTACAACCGGACCGTATTGTTTAACCAGGGAAGCAAACCACGCAAACATCCTCCCTTCCGGTCGTCGCACGATAAGTGGAAGTTTGCTAATCGCACATAATCTGGGTCCAGGGATGACGCTGAGTGGGCTAATGAAATAATTACACACTATATCGTAGACTGTTTTTGCAATCAAGGCGCTAGCCAGGAGGAGCAGCAATTGTCCGTATGAGAATTCATAGTCTGATAAGGCTTCATGATACCGATGCTTTACAGAAGCGAGGAATTGGGTTAATGCCGCGTTCATGTTTGTTGATTGTCTAGAATCGGTAAAGTGATAATCGGGGGGAACGGGCTTGTGTGTGTCTCTTTATACTAGTAGCGAACTGTAGTACCGAATATGCGGAGTTTGCATACCCGACCCACGAGTGTAACGTTATACGGCAAGCTTAAAAAAAAATCCCGGAGGCTTAGTATGTACAAACGATGAGCTATTTAAACAACACAAAAACAATAACAGAGAGTTTCATAGAAAACTCTGTTCTTCATTGTCGGAACAAAAAATTTGCTATATATATCGGTGTTTGCTTCATAATTGCTCAAAGAAATCTTTTCCCACCGAAATATTTGTGGCACATTATGTGTGACAAAAAACTATGCGGATGTCGCTAAAAATAATAACCGTTTCCGGGATGTCGCTAAAAATAATAACCGTTTCCAGGTCTTTGGAGTTAAACGAGTTATGTAATTGTTTGGTCAATTGACAGCAGTCTAGCCCGAAATTGAATTGCCGTTTACCCTTTGCCGCTTATACAAATAAAAAACAATTGATGATGCAAAATAAAAAACAATTGATGATGCAAAAGAAAAATCTGTGTACAAGTTTCGCGTCTTGCTCTAGCAGAAAAGGAAACGACGAGTGATCATGTATTTTGCCAAGAACTCGGCACAAACGACGACTTTTCTACTCGGCATTGAAACGTGGAGTTGAGCGTAGCAAACCAAACGTAGATATCGTTTTACATCTTCCCTGTTGCGTTTTATTAGACATCAACCAGATGAATTTTTTCGGAATGGCAAAACTTTTTCCTTTTGTCGACAGGAAAATCTGACGATTTTAAAAAAAGAAAAACATCTTGTGCCACCGTCCATTCGATTTGCACCACCACAGCAGTCACAGCAGTCACTTTCCTGTGTAGTTTGTGGTGAGGCGCAACCGGCTTTGAGACCGCGCGCGCGGAAATTCCGTCAGATCATATCGGGACTACCATGGAGTATGAATATCAAGGCTATCGAATTCGGGAAAAGGAGGCTTTAAGACGGAAGAACGCTTTGGTAGGCGATTCTGTCTGCTGCAACGTGAAAAACAAAGTCATGGCTGTCAGTTCATGTAGTCAATGCTTTCAATTCCGATGGATAATTTGTATTTGCATACTTGCGGTATACAGACTTTTTGAGTAATGATATGAGGAACATATGATGTACATCAATGATAAACACGACTTCGTGTTGATACATTTGTCAACAGATAGCAAAGCATTAACAAAACAAGTCAAATTAATTAAAGTAGCAATTATCACAATACTTTACTCATTTCCAAGTTGGCGGCGGAGGAAACTTATTGAATAGAGAATTAGTAATGTGAAACGAGAATATGTTTGTTTTGATTTAGATCTGGAGTCTGGATATTATTCAATCGGAACAACTATTCAACCTACCACTAACTTGATAGCGATAATGTTGGGCGATTGAACGTTTGTAAACTATTATTATAATAATTAGCCGAGTAGCCGAGTAGCCGAGTATTTTGACTAATTAAATACGATCGGCAATGGTGCGTCACTGAGTTAAAAAAAGACATTCAATAATATTTCCAAAGCAAAGAATAGAACGCAATTGTCCTGTCCTGTCCTGAGTCTCCGGTCAAGTGCTCTTTACAACAACAGAGAAAGTCTGTATAACGATAAAAAGAAACGCTTGGCGGTCTTTTTTTGGTTTGTGCATGGGCCAGTGAACAATCTGCAATGCAATGGAAAGTCGTACAATACAAACTAAGCCATTTGTAGCCATCATTTTGCATTGAATAAAGCTGCCGTAAAAGGTAAGGGAATCAGCAGTCTGGTTTTGTGAGTTATGTCATTTGTCGCAATCCTGCATATTACATAAATCGATAACATTCGAACAACACATCGTGCTGTGCTGTTATCATCATTTACAACGCTATTAATTAATCAAACTACTAAACCAATCATGCACGAGAAAGCTGTATCGGAATAACAGCAGCATGCCGCCGTCAAACGGTTTTGGCTTTGCAATGTTACAACAGAAACGTGGAAGTGCGAGTACAACGACCAATCGGATTATCATTTGTAGTTTGAATTTACCCGGATGGTTATCCGAATAATAAGGCCAGTGTCAGAATGACGACAAAATGATCAGCGTTGCATAAATGCTTCACTACAATGTACGTAGATTACTCTGGTCTCGTATACAACTGAATGACTATTCTATTCGATCGATTACAGTACATTATATGTTCAGATGTCGTGTATCGGCCGAGCGATTGAAATCTTTTTCTATTGGGCTTTTCCTCGGCCGTAAGATAATCTTTATGTGCACATAATGATTTTGATATAACGTCAAACATACACAAATAAGCAAGTTGTTATACACTGTATTAGATCGATCGGGGGGAAAAGTCTATGATCTGTATAACCGACATTGGAGTTTTATTATCATATTTTGTGATAAACTACCAACTCTTTGTAATACCCTGCCCTGCTTATAACTCTCTACCACAGCGTACGTTATGACAAAAGACGACGCACATAAGTTTCAGCATTTTCCAACGTTGTTGTCGGACATTCGGAGTTGTCAATGGTAAGAATAGTAGATTAATTGAAAGATCAAACCGGTATTTCTTCATTGAACTATCATTCATAATAATAATATTGGTCCATTGCTCAGGGGTTGAGAAAAGACAAATGTTTGTCAAACACACAATAGAAGTATTAAAAACCCACATAACGTTTATAAATAATTTTATCTAACTTGCATTAATAATTGGTTTAATTTATCCTCGTTCTTAGTAATTTTATTATTATCTTTGCGAGCATGCTTTCTGTGGACACGATGAGCTAAACATTGAGAATTTGCATTGGCCCACTACGCATACGACTCGCTATGAAAATTACATGTCTAGACAATATTCCAGACTCTACGTATTCTTCTGAGATTCAGGAAACTTATTTTATATTTTTCTTAATTAAGCGATTAAAGTATTTACACTTTGCTAGGCATTGAGCATAATCCAGTTGCAACGAACGGAATACAAATATTCATGAATTATAACATTGTCGTAGGTATATTCCTAAACGATATCAGAGTTAGCTTTTGGTTTCAATAAATTATCCAACGATAATAATTGTGAATGGGTTAATAGTCGAACAATATACCCGCAACAGTTATTCTCAATGTGAGTTATAACCCAGACAAAACAGTTACCCATACTCAAAGATTGACAATATGTCGTGGTTAAGTTACTTTCGTTGATGTAACAAACTCTAGCAAATAATGAATTGTTTTTTTTATCCAATAATATGTATGTGCATTAGACAAGAGATAATAATAAACATTAACTCTCTTTCACCTAACATTATTGCGTGTTGGGTACTAAATGGTCGCTATGAAATAATTACTACCTGCGAGCCGACTGAAAGACTCATCCGTTTTGATACAGGTAATAAGATTAACGCAACCTGTTTGAACATCATTTTCTGCAGCGAACGTGATGTAAAAAGTATATTTTTTGCATTACAACATTGCATTATTATTCTTTCGTTTGGCTCAAAAACGGATCGCCAGCAACAAGCTAACAAGTTGTACGACAAAAGGCTAGCGACGCCGAGATTACGTTATTTACAACGTAATTTTATTTTCGGTCGGCAATTAAATGTTTATTTCAGAAAAGTGTTAGAAATTATGTTGCGAACACAAAGTTAGGAGCCATGCATCATTCAGCTCTGGTGCTGAAATTGTTCAATGAAGCTTCATACAGAGCTCGAATGTAAATGCGCATTTTTATTCACTATCGTAAATGTTAAAATGTACTTTATATATTTTCTTACAATTCCAAATAGTTCTACTCTCGGCAAACAGTAAACGTGCTCATATTTTTTAACCCTAACAATATGTATTTAATTTACTTAATTAGACCCACCGATAATAACGTGGCGCAAATTAAAAGTTTATTCAAAGAATGGTTGGGTCACTAAAACATAAGAAATGAATGGACAATGTTAATATCGAAATTGACCTCATTAATAACCATTATGTCTTCATACCTGCAGCTGAATCCAAATCATAATCAGAGCTATTCTTTGGTTTAGGCAAATCTCCAGTAGGTAAAAGCGTACTAGAATATTTACTCTCCTTTTCGAGACGCGATAATGGTTTTACATCAGTATAATAGATAGTATTCCACTCGTCGCCAGAAGCGCGCAGCTCCAATAGTTCATTGTCCATATCCTCCCAAAGTGCCAATGCATCAGGACGCTTATCAGGATTAGCATCACAACACCGTTCGGCAAGTTTCTTATATTTCTCTGGTGCGGAATCAGGCATCAATGGTCGTAGTCCACCCATGATATCGCATACTAAATCTCTATCAAACTGCCTGTCTCTGAATGGTAATTCACCAGTGGCCATCAAATACATAATGATGCCAAATGAATATATGTCTGATTTCCGAGTGAATTTGTAGGTATGGAAGACTTCCGGTGCAATAAATGGCAAAACGCCCCGAATGGTTGAATTTGACTCGCGTAAATTCACCGATCGTGAGAGCCCAAGATCGCATATCAATGAATCTATCCCAATATCATGCATATTGTCACGCAAAACAATGTTTCCGCCATGAAGATCACAGTGAACTATTCCTACCATATGAATAGTATTCAGATAATATGTAATGTCCTTCAAATGGCGTAATTTATCCAACCACGTCAACTTGTTAATATTTTGAGGCAAATAAGACAAAAGACTACCATTGTTAGCATATTGCATAACAATCATGTACTCTTTTGTCTCTGGGTCTTGTGTGACTCCATAAAGGTGAAGGAATAAATCATATCGTGCACACTTGGCATGATTTCTGAACTATTAAATAAACAAATTGAGTCAGCTTAAATATTAATTTAAGTAACAGTACCAATTATTTGCTTACCTCGGAAATGAATAATTCCGGCATTTTATCAAAACCTTTAAACCGTTTGAGTACAACAGTTCCTTGCCATATTTCTTCTCCTTCGTATTTGGCAGTATAAACTGTTGCGTAACCACCAAATCCGATCTCTTTGAGTTCATAAAAGTCACTATACTGCATGTATTTAACACGTTCGTTGTTTCGTATAAATGCGTCCAGTATTGCATATACGTCGTAATAGAAAACTAAATAATATTCCCGAGTAGATGGCTCCTGAGTGATTCCAATTATCCAAATATTATCGGGGGTTAATATCGTCGGGTATTCCTTAGTTAACTATTTTGAGTAAAAGAATATAACACTGGTCAATCAAAAGTACGATATAGATACGCACATTGTTTACACGTATAATTTACCTGATGAAAATCAAGCGACTGATTGTTTTGTTTGTCAACTATTTTTTTGAGTGTTACACGAGTCAATTCATTCCATTCTGCGATATGCGTGCATCCATGGCGTAATGATGGCGTCATCTCTTGTACATTTGTTAACAGGGAATATTCAACCCATTGTATATACGCATCATGAACGAACATTGTATTACTCCACGACTCTATGATAAATGAATCTAAAGACTTGTTGCCAGTCGTCCAATCCGGAGGGGTTGGTGCTTTACAATAGTAACAGAATGCGTTTATCTTGGGGTTTAACAGCTTTGTACACGCCAGACATAATCCATGTCCATAATATTCTTTTAGGAGATAATACTTTTGTTCATATTCATCGTATGTAAATCCGATGGTAACCCAAACATCCGTGTTAAGAATATCTGGATGTTTATCGCATAACTAATGATACATAATAATAAGTCAATAATTATTTAAACTATTCAATAAACATGACGCATAAGTAAATAGTTTACCTCGGCATATAAATCATGTGTCTCGTCTGTTATTTCAAGTGGAATCAAGTGAACATATGAAGAAGTAGGTAGACCATGCAAGTCTCCATATTCTTCATCAACACAATCGTATGGAATCCATTCCAAGTAGGCATGATTTGGCGAGTTCGTTTGTAATTGAGATTTCTTAATAAGCTCATCAAGTTGTCTATTGTCGCTAGTCCAGCCATCGGATAATTGCTTATGTCCACATATGCACCACACGGGACTGCATCGGAGTATTCTACATGCGGAACAGAATCCATATCGAGAATAACAATGGTAAAACGGTCTCTTAGCAACCATGTAATAACGATCATCATGCTTGGTAAATCCAATGATCCATGTGTTGCGACATTCAAGCCAGGTTTTGTACCGTCTGAAGTTATTATCATCGTTATTGTACTTGCATGTCGGAAGTGAGTATATTCTCGCAAATTCACTCACAAGTGTTGATGTACATTCTTCGTTACTTCCAAGTAGTACCAGTATTATCGGCGTTTTATTAGCGTGGATAGCATAGTGAACGGTGTCTATTGGACTTGACATTATGTCGGTAATATCCGAACAGGAAATCCATTCAAGTTTATGTCGGCCTTCTAAAGAGGATTGAACCAAGCCGTTAAGTACTGCATTACAATTATATAACGCCATGGTTTACAATAGAAAACCGTTTTTTTTTTTCAAACAAAACGTCTTCATATTTATCGCGTCGTACAAGCTTTCGAAGAGATCCAATTTGTTGTGTTACATCGTACAGCTTGCACAAAAAAGAGCAGCGTTGTTTGTCTGCTTCTTTTCAGCATGTCATCATGATGTGATTTACAAATTAGTTTTTTTGTGAAAGCAACATAGTTCTAATAAAAAATTACACATGTGTGTGTTCACAACTATTACTCAAATCATAACATTATGTAGACGCTCGTTGACATGATAACTACTTTATAGTCACAAGGTTATTGTAACCGATTATGGCTCTGTAATTAATGGCTTTCCGAAACTTTGGTTTTGGCTGTTGGGATAAAAGTGTTGATTTCTCACAACTCATAAATGCTGCAATGATTTCTGACAGATCCTATACAATAGTGTTATACAGATTGTCATCGCACCCTTACTCTAGTATTTGATATATATTGCTTTTATAACAAATTATATAAGAAAGAAAGAATTTTTATGCTAATACGCGCGTAAGATAAGCGAGAGGACAAAAGAACACCAACATTGATTAGGAATTAGTCATATTACTTTGATTTAAAAAAGACACGCCTCTGTATACGTGGTTAGCACCCTAGCAAACAAAAATGTTCAAATTGGAACAATCGAGCTTCACGAGCATCGTCGACGAGATATTACTCCAATATAGCAGCATAAACAAAACACGCGCATTTAACGTTAAAGCAATTTATTATTGTTGTTATTATGTTTAAACATCAACGTAACCAAAACGCAAGTCTTCCATTTTTTAAGCCCCAGATAACGTGTTTGGCTACGAGTCGTAATGCTTCTTTACATTTATTGGACCGTTTTAATTATGGCCTTCATCAATGCTTTATAACTGAAAGCATGAATGACGGAGAAATAACTGCCAGTCGACGTCTTAAAAAGAAAACGCGTACTAATAAGCAAACGTTTTATTATTGAGATCACAATACGCCACTCTCAATATGTTAGATATTGGTCACAAAACGTCAGAAATTACTTGGCGACGAATGGTATAATACCGCGTGTTTATGGTCTTACGAGATTATCTCTTGTTGTTTGTACAAAACGGAAAAGGAAAATAAAAAAGCTTGTGCATTGTGCAATATAAGATTTAGAAAATTAAACTTTGAAAAGAAGGGTGCCTGAATTTTTTCTAAAGAGTGATTGTACAATTGTGGTTATTAAACTTGGATTTAATTTTTTGTCGACATATTTGTTATTACTTTTCTGTAATCTTGTCGTTGTATTATTGATATATTTGAACAATACGCAGATAATAACAGAGAAATTTACGCCGTCTTGCATATTTTTCAGTTTATGAATTTTTTATTGAGTTGGTCATCTTTTTGTTGGGTAACATTTGTTAATACTGCATTAGTAGCAGTTTGCATGTTTTAGTTTTTGCATTTACAAAGCACTTGCTAAAATAATGTCGGATGAGGAGAGGTACGTAGTTATAGCGTTGGAGTGTTGTATTTAGTAAAGAATAAGGTTGACCAATTAATTACTACATCTATGACACCTGAACGTCTGCAACCAAAAATAGAAGACAATATTTTACTTTCAAGGATATCGAATGCACATAACAAAACAAGTGAATGCGCCGCTTAGCAAGCAACTCAAAATATAAACATAACGCATCGAAATGTTCACAATGGAAATTCTTCTACATAATGATTTGAACAGTGTTTGTAAAAGGCATAGTTTCTACGCATAATAGTAAGCACAACATTATACAATATAATATACTGTAGCAGATTTACGCGCTCGATCAGTAACAATGTTCGCTTAATATATTGCATGTGTGTTCTATCAGGATAAATAATACCACGTAATCAATTACTTTTACACTAGTTGGCAGTGTTTCAATTTCAGGTTACGTTCCATACTATCCAACTTTTTTTCTGAACATTAACAAACCCCTCAGTAAAGACGGACTCCTTCCTAAAATAGAGTCAAATTAAAATATTGAATACATATCAAATTTAGTCAATTAATAAATATAAATACATTGGCAACAACTTTTATTTTCAGACAAAACGTTAACCGCACATAGCATGGTAAAATATATTCAGCCGCCTCGTAGTTGTTAAATTTAATGTCCCCGCTATTCTGTATTTCTTCAGTTGATGTTTTTATTGTTGTCTATATTCATTATACAATAAACTGTAATCAACAATATGTATCTGATACTTAATATGCTGGGCAAGGGATCTCTTCCTATAACACGTCTCCTAGAAGCTTACACGGAAGTGAAAGCGTATGTTGTTTTTTATTAATCCTAATTTCTGCATTCGATTTCGTGTGTGATCCCGTGCTTTGAGGTCTTTCAATTTTTTGACTTTGGCGTAACTGTAAGCTTAGCTACCCTCATCTGAGGTATTGGTCTTATTAAGTGGCGCTACGTCGTACGACGTGATGGTTTACTATGGAAATTAATTTTTCAATTCGAAAATAATTACTTATTATAATAAGGACGCTCGTACAAACTTGCATATCGAATACGTCTTCGACTTGTGATCACAAATCCTGTGTTCATGTAAATGTTCGATGCATATGAGTCGTCTATATTATTTCGCAATAATTATTAAGTATTGTCTATTTATCAGTATGATTGTAGAGATATACGAAAGCGCTTTTTTCTTGTATCTTCCGTCATTTCTTTGTCACCCTTTTCTTCGGGACCTTTTTGGGTGTATCCTGGGTTGGCATGAATCAAAGGTTCATACAATGGTGTCTTGACTCTGTCGTCGTCATCATTAGAATCCTTCAATTTCTTCGATTAATCCTTTAACTGATTTACGAGAGATTGCAATTCGGTTTTATTATCATCAGATAAATCAGTAACTTCATTGACAACGTCAATTCTTGGCGGCGATGCGAGATTGACAGAATATTTCGTTTTCGTCGTTGATTTACTCTGTTAAGATAATGATTAAGATAAAACTTTGCATCCACGCCTTTTTATTCCAGTAATACCAAACTGATAAACTGGATTTTTCGATAATTTTGATTGGGCGAGGATTTTCAAACTTGTGGATAAAGAGAGGCGGAAAGTTTTCCTCACCCGTTGCGTTACATGTCAAAAAAACTGTGACACGTTTTTTAAACCTTTTCGTGCCAGATACAAGTCGAGTTGATAAGGTTTGCGTGGGCTTTATTCGCCAAATAGTGCGGTTTCATCAGCATTAAAAATGTGCACAATTCATAAGCAGAAGTCACTTCTCTTCGTTTTTGGCGGTAATTCTCTAAACTTTCCAATGGTGCGCTGTTTTCCTCTCCTATACGGCAAATTTTTCAGTTTTTGAATTTTTCCAGCCATCCGTTTGAGCCATTAAAATTGTGAACACCGAGACGTGTAGCAAACTCACGGGCCTTCTCAAGTATAATGTGTCCAGACACTGACTGATTGTTGTTTACTGCATTCTCAACCATATTATCCTAGAGTTGGAAATTTGGGTAATTTATGTCGTTTAATTTTTGCGTCGGCGGAAGTTGCATCCAATGACAACCATTTGCCTTTTTCGTTGACAATTAAAGTTACCGTAGCAGGGCTAATTGAAATTTTCTCTGCAAGTTTTTGATTTTGATATAAGCGCGTATTGAACATTTCACAGAGTTTTTTTTGTAGTCCCGTCAAAGTCTTTCTCGTAATTGATCGGGATTTTTTACTACCAGATATTGAATTAAATATATTTTTGCGTTTATTCTTAATAGAAGGACCAGTAGTGATATTCATGGTTTTTGAAGCAAGGATTAAGATTGTTGGTTATTCTTTAAATAAAATTTATTTAATTTAAAGAGGTAAATCTTTAACCAATCAAGGTATTTCAACTTGTTGAGATTCATTTGTTAGGAGCGTGAGAGAATACACTTTATCTTACAGTTTTATCGAGGTTTTATAATAAATTTATATTATAGAGGCATTTTTAATATTAAAAATTTGGGGCGGAAAAATTCTTTATCTTAAAGTGATTTATCTTCAAGTGGCTTTATTTTATCGAGTTATTATGTATTAGTACTAACAAGGTTATTATTACACATTAACGTTAATCTGAAGATCAGAAAGAAAGAAAAAAGATACAACAGTTTGGGTTTAAGGGGCAATGCGAGGCGCAACTCATGACTACACTACTCGCAAGCAATATAGCTTGTTGCCAAGGACAGCTGGTGAGAACGCGAGTCGCAACACATTACCACACCACTCGCAAACGATGTGACTTGTCTTCACTAACCTATGTCCTCTTTCAGGTGAGTTTCACTTTTATCCTTTTTTCAAACCACTAAAAACATGCGTGTACTTTCCTGCCAATTAGCCAGGAGTTTTTTCGCCTTCTGTCTTACCGATTCCTTTATGAATACATTTCCTTGGATAGCATGTAAATGTTACCGAAAAATATGTTCGGATCAGGACCATATTTGCTCACATAAGCTTCAACGATGTTATTATGAGTCCAATTTTTAAGATCGTTCACATACTCTTATCGTAACTCCCCCCTCGGAATTATGCATCTATTATAAGAGATGAACAGATGTGCCGCAGTATTTTATTCTGTTGACAAGCTTCAAAATAGAAAAAATTTTAATTATAATTTCTCTCTTGATGAAAATGATAAAAATAAAGTATAATACAAAAGGTTGAGATAAATTTGTGACACAGATTTGTGTTACTATTTTTTGACAGTACACTGTAATAAATAACGATCAAACACATTGATTGCAATCGCTGTCATAATGATAGTTTTCAAGATTAATCCCTGTTTACCATTTTTTTTTTCTTCAATCCTTTCTGCTTTTCAAAAAAAAAAATCTCGCTTTCGAAATGTTGTTCGCTTCAAGAAAAAAAACCAACCAAGTATAACCAATAGTAAAAAAATCACGCTAGTCTGCTTCGCCGATATATTATCAAAATTAGTTCCGATCCATTATTAATTTTTCCCACATGTAGATCTAAATATGTTATCAACAAACAATTAATAAACACACCATCAACTATTTGCAATATGAACTGTACCATATTATGAAAATATCTGAAATAAGCATTAAGGTGATAAAACATTTTCCCATGACGCCGCCACTTATATCTCGACCACTTTATGATTGAACGTCATATACAGTAACGTAAATAAAGCTATTCGTCACATTCGCTACACGTTACGACTTTATAACGTAAGAAACCTAAAATCATACACCACTTTCTTTGCAAATCAATGAAACTATTCCTTCAAAATTCACAACCGATTGACATAAACTCAACTAATATTATAAACATAAAACTAAAACTATAAGTCGCTCTCACTCCAAAATTAGCCAAACTCAACCAATACATTACAGAAAACCTTTCCACATGAAAATCAACAAAACGCTACGACATCTTACTCTTATCGCACTCACATCTATAACATACGTAAAAGTTCTATTGGGGAAGAGTTAAATGTATATGAGAACAAATCATGCATCGAACTACACAACTTTGAATTTATATCAACCACCCAATCCATGTACTACCTCCTTTACTATTACCACCTCTACAGACTCATCTTTTTTATCCATCCGCTCCATCATCTGCTTCAGAAAAGAGATTCCTTCTGTACTAGTACAACTCACTAAACGGAATAACGAACACAAACAGTCAGCCAAAGCTCAAGACAGTCGAAATGAAAAGAGCCAAGAGACAGCTTTATCTGCTACTTCCTATATTGCTGTGCTGATCATTGAACAATTTATTGTTTAAGTCATAATAATAATTCCCATTTTCTATCATTATTACATTTACAGGTGCTAATTAAGATTTCTTTATTGTTTGCTAATTATACATAATAATAAAATAACGTTCTTACATTGCTATAATAATAATAATGCTATTCTAATATGGCTCCTTTTTTATAGCATAAACCTCTGCTAATTCTTGAACACGCTTTTTTAGTTTGGAGCTATCATTATATACAAAAAAATAAACCTTGTTTTGTGCTTTAACATACCCTTGCTCAGCTGCTTTTTGATATAATTCAATAGCTTTCTGTTCATCTTGTTTTACACCAATTCCCTTTTCATAGCACCAACCAAGGTTATATTGTCCATATGCATTCTTTTTTTCAGCTGCTCTTTGGAATAATTCAATAGCCTTTTGAATATCTCTTTCTACTCCAATTCCATTTTTGTAACATAAACCAAGACTAACATATGCATAATCATTTTCTTGCTCCACTGCTTTTTGAACATTTTTATCTACACCCATTCCATTTTCAAAACACCAACCAAGGTTATCCTTTGCAAAAGAATTTCCTTGCATAGCTGCCTTTTGATATAATTCAACAGCTTTTTGATAATCTGTTTCTATATTAATGCCTGTTCTGTACAGCCAACCAAGATTATTTTGTGCATTAGCATATCCTTGTTCAGCAGCTTTTTGATACCATTCAACTGCCTTTTGTTCATTTTTTTTTACTCCAGTTCCATGTCTATAACACCAACCAAGATTACATTGTGCATTAGCATATCCTTGTTCAGCAGCTTTTTGATACCATTCAACAACTACCTTTTGTTCATCTCTTTCTACTCCAGTTCCCTGGCTATAACACACACCAAGATTGTATTGTGCTTGAGCATATCCTTGTTCAGCTGCTTTTTGGTACCATTCAACTGCCTTTTGCTCATCTTTTTCTACTCCAGTTCCATGTCTATAACACACACCAAGATTATTTTGTGCATTAGCATGTCCTTGTTCAGCAGCTTTTTGATACCATTCAACTGCCTTTTGCTCATCTTTTTCTACTCCAGTTCCATGGCTATAACACATCCCAAGATTGTGTTGTGCTTGAGCATATCCTTGTTTAGCTGCTTTTTGATACCATTCAACTGCCTTTTGCTCATCTTTTTCTACTCCAGTTCCCTGGCTATAACACACATAACACACCAAGATTGTATTGTGCACCAGCATATCCTTGTTCAGCAGCTTTTTCATGCCTCTTGAAGAGGATTTCATGTGTGATAGCATTCATGTTATGACTGTTTAACAGGTAGTTTAAGTTACTATTACGCAAATGTAGTTACTGTTGTTATTATTATTATGTTAATACTTGACCAGATCGCAATCTTAATATTAATATTAGTCTGACCGAATTCGAAATTGTCGCACAAGCGATCATCGTGGTACAGGCGGGGGGTACCAAATTAATAGCGACTGCAGTGTTATGATGTATTTTTGTCTATTTTTTTTGTTTGCAAAAAGTACAATTGGTTGGTTTTAGATTAATACAAAAGCATTAGCAAATACAATAATAATTTTTTTTTGTATTCACAAACTTTTCGGTGATTATTTCTTATGTGCCAGACATAATTCATTGTAAATTTTTACGAGATAATACTTCTGTCATTTGTACCATATGTAAACCCAATGGTCATTCCTTCACATTTGTGGTAAGAATGTCACATAACGATATAGAATAATAAGTCAATAATTATTTAAACTGGATTATACAATAAACATGACGCACATGCAAATGGTGTAATATAAATTGCTCGTCTCATCTGCTTATTTTCAATAGATAACTTAACGCCATATTTTTATTGTGAGAAACAATCAGGCTTTATTTTCTGTAATTGAGATCTTCATAAAAAATTTATCGAGTTGCTTGTCGTTGCTACTCCATTCATTGAATTATTTTTATGACGGCAATGCACCACACGGAACTACTTGGGAGAATTTCACATGCGGAGCAGAATTCATATCGAGAGTAACATCATAATTAGTAAGTGCGTTTATTTGGTAACCATGTAATAATTACCATCGATAAACCTCTTCATAAATCTGTGCGTTTTTGAGTATTTTAATTTTATGAGCTAATTAACGTCATTTTATACTGTGTGTTGGAAGCAAGCATATACTAGCAACACTCATAAGCGTTGTGTACAAATCACATCTTCCAAAGCAACGGTGACATTATTCTCTCAAATGCTAAACTCTAAAAAATAGCTAATAATATCGTTTATTAGACTTGACTTCATGTCACTAGTCTCTGAATAACATTTTATGACCATTTTTGCGATAAGGAGGTTGAATAAGGCTTCAATTGCTGCTAAAATTAATGTCACCTGTGGTACATTTTGACCCTTACATTCTCGCGATAATTAGTTTTAATACAATAATCTCGACCGTATCTGTTTACTCGTTTTATATAATATGTCAAGGATACATTAAGGCATTTGGAGCAAGCGTAAAGCATGTTCAATTATTAGATTAATTTCATTCATTTCAAATTGCAATTTTGCTGGGCTGCTTGGATTAGTAATAAGACTTACCTTCGCAATGAATAAGTAATGTCATTGTTTCTGACAACGACTTTGCGTACACCGTTGATTTTATACTTGCGGAGAACGTTTTTTAATTCGTCCAAAGTTTTGTGGGACGAGGAACTTCTCATCTTCTGCTCGAGATTTTCAACGAATGCTGCAAGTCTTTTAGCAGGACCAGCTTTCAAACCATAACTGCGAAATTTTTCTTTTGTTGTCTCAAGAAAGTCGAAACCGGAAATCTCTTCTTGTCGAATAATCTTGAAATGAGAATCCTTAAGATGTAAATATTCCTGTCTTCGTAAATAATCGATAGGTTCTTCCGTCTTATATTTCCTTATTACGTCCGCCACCGTGCGAGTTGACTCTTCCGCTATTGTAGAGGATTCAGAAATAGGTGAGGAAACGCTGGGTGAAGACATGGTGTTCTTTTATATGTAAAACCTGGTTCTATGTACTATGTTTACGTAGTTAAAATAATTTTCGTGGATCAGTGGCTTTTTACAGTACAGTAGGTACCATATCGTTTGTAAATTTTGTGAATACAAAAAGTTTTTATTTTTGTATTTACAATACACGTATGTGTTTAGCCCATTAACCATATTCATAACAAGCGTTGAAAGCAGAACGCAACATCGACTTGGCGTCCCCCCTAGAAGAGACTGGCCGTTAGTTTGTACATACCTCATCATAAACTTGAGATTTTTAAAAGTAAATAATCATTTATTTACCCTTTCATGTGTTTCAACTTGCCTGTTAATTGTAATGTGTCACAGGACTGCCGCGGGTAACTGTCAATCTTAAAAAAAAAAATCTCGACCAATTATAAATGTGCAAGAAAATCTTTTCTGCGGATCAAGATCATTCATTCACACGCGCGTCTCGTCTTGTCGTCTGTTTGCACGTTCGGTCATATTAATCTTTCAGTCCTACGGGATATAATATGTCATTCGAATTCAATGGTAAGTGACACAGTTAATAGAGTTAATCAATCGATTCCCGCTGATTCCATTCTGACAGATGCCGCTCCCGCCATCGGAGCCTACTTCGAAGAAACCAGCCCAGACCTATGGTCTTACTCTAATTTTCTCGAGAAGGTGGTGAAGCCCATCGGCCATACTTTGTACGACCGTGACCCTATTAGAGCCAACAGGGTTTGGAAGAAAAGGTTTATTACTGCTGTCAAGGACATTGCAAATAAAGAAGTTCCAGTTGCTCGACAACGCGCTGCAGCCAAAATATTAAAAGGTAAGCTTCATTTAATTAAATACACCAATTATCCCGTCACATGAAGTGGGCTGCATCCCCAGCGCCGTTTCGTCCCGTGCTGGTGGAATGGCGTTTCGTTCCCCAGCAGCCTCACTTCTTCACGCATAAAAGCTTACCACACCCTAGCAGCCGTTTCGTCCCGCTGCTGGGGCATGGCGTTTCGTTCCCCCGTGGTCTGCTTGTCTTGCGTGGGTCGGGTGAAGTTGACGGCAGATTCAGTCACTACGCTTAAATGATCTTTTCTTTCTATAGCTGATAGCGATAACGATAATGATCAGGTCACCTATTTTTGGAAGGAAACGTTCGAAAATAACAAGCTCCAAGAAAAACGCGTGAGTTCCTTAATTCATATTCTATTACATAGACTGATTAATGTCACCTATTTTTCTCATCTGATTATGGAAATTTTTATTACCAATCTAGGTTGCACTGAAACGCAAAGCAGATGGGACTGCCTTGGAACTAGCGTCTAATTCACTAGATTCTGAGAGAAAAAAAGTCTTACATCTTTACAACGTATGTCCTCCTTCAAAAAGGATACATTCTACTGAGCATCTATCTTTCCAAGCCTACGAATCTGACAGCAACGAGAAACATGAAGATTATGTGTAAGTTTTTGCATTGCATTTGACTTTTATGTAGGAGTTGAGAATGAGAACCCAAACTTTGTTAATGACTATCATCCTTTAGGACGATGGTAAAGATTTACAACAGACAGTGCTTGGTTATTCGGTTGCCATCACTCCACCTTCTCAAGTAGAATGTAATCGCTCATACGAACGACAACGTAGACCAGGTCAAGTATATGGTAAATTAATAAAGTATTGATTAATACATATTTTCAACTGACATAAGGTTTCTATAATAAGACAATGGGCTTAACATTAAGCCTTTTGACCCATTCGGATCAGACAAGGAAGATGATAGTGAGGACGTATCTGCAGAAATTGACTGTGAAGATGATAGTGAAGACAGTGAGGACGATTTAATTGACGAGCATATAATATACACTGAAACAACCTCTTTTGATGAATATGTAAAGGTTCAAAAAGGATCTGGTTGGACCTTGGAAGACGGTCGCCAGGTTATTGATGTAATCACACAAAATACTACTAAATTGGCGGAATCAATCTCTAAAGAAAGCAGGAGGAAGCGAAACCCAATTATAATGAGTATTATTCGGTTAGAATTTACATCGTTATTAACATAATATGCATAAAGCGATTTGGTAACGTGAAATATAGTTTAGGGTTCTCTTCAATCGTGGATTTGTCCTCAGAATATCAAGAAGGAATGTTTTCATGGTTTGGGGACGAGTGGAGTAGTTTAAAGAAAAAGGTATACGATACAGTCAATATGATCCCGAATTCTTTCGATGGAGAAATCAAAACAATCATTGATACTGTTGAAGAAGTAAGTGAACATTCATAGACTCTTTCGCATACTAAGTTATCCCCATTGCTTAAGCATTTTTTCATTCTTAGATGTGTGATTCGTATCGGTATGTTGATGCACGAGACTATTTGTTTAAGATACGATCTGAGAAGAACCCCCTGATGGTTCAACAAATCGCAACTACCTATTTTCACGTGTATGTACTTTATTTGATTATGTATTTTCCTTATGTCAGCCGGCAAAGCACTGACTGCTAAATTTTTGTTAGGATCGACAAATTCCTTGACAATCCACACATTTTCGTTGAGGAAACTGGAAAGCGAATGGATCTTAGTGAAATGGAATATGCAATAAATATGACAGCCCCGATCCTTAATGATGTCTTCAATGATGTCTTGAATATCTTGAAGTTTCGTTGGTAAGATTATTCCATATTGTCTATACCACAGTAGTATGAACAATGACTAATAAATAGGATATGTTTGTGATGCAGGGGAGAAACTTTATCTACTGCTAGTACTGAGAGAAGGCGAAAGATTGACCTAAGGATAGTTCACAGATACAAAGATATTGAACTAAGTCATTCCGAGTGTGCCAAGGCACCCACACCTGTCAAGGCAATCCGCGACCGCTCAAAATGTCTGAGAACTGCGAAAACCATACTGGATAAATTTCTTCTAGAAGATCTATCGGATGAGGCGGTAAAAGATTCAACCATCTTGGGTATACAGTTTGCTGGTCAGTGTTTCGTATTAATTGTTTGTATATTAAAAATGAATATATAATTGATATTTGATGGTCACATAAAGGCCTTGATGGTCAGATAATCGGCATTGATCTTCTAGACGATGGTGTCTACTTTGGCCTTGAGGGATCTCGTTTCAGCTTTCCAGCGCAACTGTCGAATATTAAGTGTCTCCGAAATGCACTTGAAGCACTATTCTTCTTCAAGGTAAGAGATCGACTCTTTATCGTTAGTATTAAATGGGCGTTTACATTTATAAATGATATTCATTTTTGGCTTAGGACAATATTGTTCGAAAAGTAAACCTCTTTCCGGATCCAAAAAAACACAACCATGCCTACAACAAGATATTTCACAACAGTCTGGATCTAAAGTCAAAGCAAAGCATTTTAAAACGAAGTTTATTAGGAAAACTTATTTCACCCCTAAGGGTCAACATCAAGCTTCTATTTGCAATTGATGTAATAACATCAAACGGGGATTATAGCGACCATGTCAGCTGAGATCATTTTGATGGTCAACCGAACCATAGAACCATAGAAAAACTGGGATTTCTGATACAAGTAGAATAAGGAGGACAATCACCAATGCTCAGGCGAGCTTTTTTACGCATTGTGATCTTGATGTCATAGTACAGTAATAAATTGGATGACCTGCGTTCATATGCACGAGATAAGAAACATAGATATTCAGTCCTATAAAAGTAGACTTCTCAGTGCTTTCGAAATTGACCATAATTTTTTTTTGTAAATTGCCAAATCATATCGATATGATCGCAGGGAACCTTTATCGTAGGCTTTTCTGTACGTACAGTTTGACTATGCTATGCTGTAGCGTACACACTAATCCTGGATATTTATTCGTGCTCTTATTTGTCGCTGGTCGTGCCGGTAACCAAATCGGGGTTTGTATGTAAATCATTAACGTTAACGCCACGAATAGGATATCGTAAATGCTAGTCGCTGGACAAGTTAGCAACTAAACTTTCTTCGATATAGGGATTAGCGGTTTACCAAACTATACCCGAATAATTCAGAGAATAGGGAACCGAAATAAACGTTTCAGAGTAAATAGATACCGATACGCGTTTATTAACAAGACATAAGGAATCGAATAATAGCACATACAGTATATGAATGAATACTTCAGAACACTAAACAGAATACTGACAGAACACACCGATGCTAGCTAAAATCTACGCTGCTTATATATATTTCGAACTAATTAATGATCTATTTTTAGTATCAAATTAGCTACTTCTATCGTAACTAATATAATTACTCCTTCGATTATTTATACTATGTACTGCTGCTCGAATGAGTTGCTGCTTGTGCAATAATGCTTCTGTCATTTGTACCATATGTAAACCCAATGGTCATTCCTTCACATTTGTGGTAAGAATGTCACATAACGATATAGAATAATAAGTCAATAATTATTTAAACTGGATTATACAATAAACATGACGCACATGCAAATGGTGTAATATAAATTGCTCGTCTCATCTGCTTATTTTCAATAGATAACTTAACGCCATATTTTTATTGTGAGAAACAATCAGGCTTTATTTTCTGTAATTGAGATCTTCATAAAAAATTTATCGAGTTGCTTGTCGTTGCTACTCCATTCATTGAATTATTTTTATGACGGCAATGCACCACACGGAACTACTTGGGAGAATTTCACATGCGGAGCAGAATTCATATCGAGAGTAACATCATAATTAGTAAGTGCGTTTATTTGGTAACCATGTAATAATTACCATCGATAAACCTCTTCATAAATCTGTGCGTTTTTGAGTATTTTAATTTTATGAGCTAATTAACGTCATTTTATACTGTGTGTTGGAAGCAAGCATATACTAGCAACACTCATAAGCGTTGTGTACAAATCACATCTTCCAAAGCAACGGTGACATTATTCTCTCAAATGCTAAACTCTAAAAAATAGCTAATAATATCGTTTATTAGACTTGACTTCATGTCACTAGTCTCTGAATAACATTTTATGACCATTTTTGCGATAAGGAGGTTGAATAAGGCTTCAATTGCTGCTAAAATTAATGTCACCTGTGGTACATTTTGACCCTTACATTCTCGCGATAATTAGTTTTAATACAATAATCTCGACCGTATCTGTTTACTCGTTTTATATAATATGTCAAGGATACATTAAGGCATTTGGAGCAAGCGTAAAGCATGTTCAATTATTAGATTAATTTCATTCATTTCAAATTGCAATTTTGCTGGGCTGCTTGGATTAGTAATAAGACTTACCTTCGCAATGAATAAGTAATGTCATTGTTTCTGACAACGACTTTGCGTACACCGTTGATTTTATACTTGCGGAGAACGTTTTTTAATTCGTCCAAAGTTTTGTGGGACGAGGAACTTCTCATCTTCTGCTCGAGATTTTCAACGAATGCTGCAAGTCTTTTAGCAGGACCAGCTTTCAAACCATAACTGCGAAATTTTTCTTTTGTTGTCTCAAGAAAGTCGAAACCGGAAATCTCTTCTTGTCGAATAATCTTGAAATGAGAATCCTTAAGATGTAAATATTCCTGTCTTCGTAAATAATCGATAGGTTCTTCCGTCTTATATTTCCTTATTACGTCCGCCACCGTGCGAGTTGACTCTTCCGCTATTGTAGAGGATTCAGAAATAGGTGAGGAAACGCTGGGTGAAGACATGGTGTTCTTTTATATGTAAAACTGGTTCTGATCAGTGCCTTTTTACAGTACAGTAGGTACCATATCGTTTGTAAATTTTGTGAATACAAAGTTTTTTATTTTTGTATTTACAATATACAGTAAGTACCAATGTTTTTTATATAAATTGTAAGCAAATTAATTGTACTTTTTGAAAAGAAAACAAAACTACGCCATTGTCATAACACTACAGTCTAATGAAGGTGCTATTGATTTACACGAAATTTTAAACTTTTTGGTACCCCTTGTATATTAACGATCGGCGTGAATGGTACCACAGAAAACGTATTTTACCATCTCTTGGAGTATCGCTATATTCTTCGTCATTATAGAGGGGTACCTCATTCTCCCATTCATAGAGATATATCTCCTTACTTATCAACCGCTCGCGTCTGGACATATCCTTGATCGAAGTTTTGATCTCGTGCAAAGTCTATTATCTCCGCATCGGACATCATTCTATCCGGTATAAACTTCTATCTTTCTCAGTTATCGTCATAAATTTATCTGGATCTTCACCGAGATCGATGGCCCATTCTCTGAGACGTTCCTCACGCTCCTCACAGGGTATATATCCTGGGAGGTAACGTATATTATCGGTTATAGAAAAGTTTAAATAAATGAAATTAATTAATTATTCGGTTGAAACATTATTGGTTAGATGCAGAGCGCTAAAAAAATTAGTGAACTAGCAAAGCGGATATGGGATTCTATTGTTGTCTTTATACTCTGGGGACTGGCGAAATTTGCAATAAATTATCGGCCCGAGGGGTGTAAGATTTGTTGGAAGTCTCTTACGCGTGTACCTGTAAAGAATGTGGTAAGTTGACATTCTCTGTGTTTTGTGCATGTAGAGATTATTCTGGCAGGTATCAGTTTAAAGATTATTATCAACGAAAAAGTTAGCAAAAATTGCCCAGAACATATCTGAGAGTAACACTACAGCAAAAGAGATGAATAATTATATTTCGAATTACTGTAAAATAGCAGTCGCTTTGCAGATAAAAATTCGTCCTAAAAAATTTTGCCCTCTTAGGTTGTTTGTTTTCTGGGGCGGATCAAAAGATGGATTAATAGTAATTTCGAGCTAAATAGAGAAGTTTTAGACCCACTCGTCCTAGTGTTCTAGAAATTTTCGGATTTCTACTTTTTCTTTTTTTTTTTTTTAATAATTCCCACTTTCAAGAAGATGTTTTTGTTTATTTGTTTTTTTTTCTCAGATTTTCCTAGGACACTATGACGGATTTACGAAAAGAATAGAATAACAAGGTAAATGAATCTCATGTAGCAAAATCCGTCCTAAGCAATCTTTTTTTTTCTAGGACGTATTTATTTGATATTAACGATACGTGCTACAGAAGTAATCTGCTTGCGGCGATGAAATATTTTTGAGGTGCACCCGTACATTTTAAATGTCAAGAATATTATTATTATCCAGTTATCTTAGGAAAGACGTAATTTTGCTGTAACCATTTTTAACAAATTTTTCACTGTCAAGCAAACGCTCGATTTTCATATGTTGAGCCTACCATAAAGTAAAACTAATCTCCCCAAGTTCTAATACAACGTGACATGTAGTCACCCTTTCCCCAGAATTTTTTTGCGACCTGCCAATTTGCATTCATTTTCCCCATCGAATTCAGACAACTGATAATATTGATGTAAACTTAAAAGTTGTATATATTCATACGTGTTATAAGATTTGTTTGATTTAAGAATTTTGCAATAGTTGCTCAAGTTTCTAAAAATGCTTGCAAGTCAGGAAAGAAAGATGACGTAAAAGCCGATGCTGATGCTGATGCTGATGATAATGGTCGAAAAAGGTATCAATTTTTGCACATGAATGTAGAATGTCTTTTTAATTCTTCTTCTGCTTTTTATTTATACCATCGAGTTGTTCTTGACGTAGAATTATAGTAGACTCTTTTTAACGCATTATTTTTCCAGACTTCTTTTTAAATTCCCAAAAATCCTCTGCAGACCATATCTCGCCATTCTTTAAAACTTGCGCTTGAATATCATCATTGATTCTTGTTGTTGCTCTTAAAGTTTAGAAAAACAACCATTTGTATTTCGCTTCCTGTTTGCTACTTGTAGTTGGCGTTTATGAAGACGAGGCATTTTATGGACGATTATTAAAAATTTATCAATTCATGTTAAATATTAAATTTTATTGGGCGGTTTTTTGGTTACACTGCATCGAAAAAAATTTGACATATTATTTGCGAGAATCTCGTTGAATTACAGATAATTAACCACGTGATTACAATGCTGAACTCTACTAGTTAGTTTCCTTTTATTCAAAAAATGGGTCACGGCCCACTCCACTTCCAGTCATAGTCATGGTTGACAACACTAACTGTAAGTTTGCTTTTCTCATTTATTTTCATTTACTTATTTTTTATTATTATCATTATCATTATTATTATTTTGAATGAAAAGATGTTCAGTAGCTTACAATGTCTTAAATACTTTTTGCTGCTTACAAGTCACTGCAGAAGAGATCCAGCGCTTATACAAGCGCTTCATGAAGCTTGACAAGGATCGCTCGGGATCAATTGATAGAGAAGAATTCTTGGCCATTCCACAGATAGCCAATAATCCTCTTGCGTCAAGAATGATTGCTATATTTGACGAGGATGGTGGTGGAGATGTGGACTTTAAAGAGTTTATTTCGGGGTTGAGCGCCTTCAGTGCGAAAGGCAAGAAAGATGAGAAATTATGGTGTAAGTAAAAAGCCGGGTTCGAACTAGGATATTTGTGAGACTTGGGCTGGAAATATAAACGAAATGGCAGGTCTCTTTGGAAGCATGTCGTAAGCGCTGTTACAGTTTGACTACGTTCAAGTACAATCTATTAACCGCTTATCAAACAACAGTCGCCTTCAAAGTCTACGATATGGATCGTGATGGGTACATTTCCAATGGCGAACTCTTTCTTGTTCTCAAGATGATGGTCGGTAATAACCTCAAGGATAATCAGCTTCAACAAATTGTCGACAAGACCATTATGGAAGCTGATAAAGACATGGATGGAAAGATTTCATTCGATGAATTCCGTGCTGTAGTGGAGTCAACAGACATAGCCAAGAACTTAACCTTGACCGAGTTCTAGATTATATACATTGGTGGATTCTGGATGTTGTAATATATTTTGTTTAATGCACACTCTCTCTTACTTTGAGACGAGGTACTGAGAGGATATAAATAGTTCTGTACGGGTCCAATAATGGCTTACTGATTATTGCTGCATCAATATATTTATTACCTTCAAAGGTTTAATTTTTGACGAGTCTTATGTTGAAAGCATTTTGTTGACTTTGCCTAATGAGAAGTAAGGTTAACTTGGTTTATCAGCCATAAATAGAATACGCGGTACTCACCAATCACGCTCTGAACCTTGTCGTCAGAGACTTTTGCTGACACGCGCTGAATGGCTTTCTCGGCACCCAGCATTATAGTTGCTTCTTTAGCTGCCTGGTTTTTGCTAATCTGTTAGATAGAATTATTGGTAAGTCATCAATCGAACCAGAGCAACGAAATGAAGGCTGTCATCTATCATCTTACCAGCGTGCCCAGTGTCACGATCGTCCGGTAAATTGCTTCAGGATCAGCCGTAGATTCCAGGATCTGAATAATACATGTCAGTTGATTAAATGGTAAGCATCAAACAACAATTAACGACAACACTTTTACATACCTCAATAATTGCTGCTATCATTTGGAGCATTGCGTCTTCATCAGGCCTTTCCAGATATGCTACGGAATAACTATATTACAACAATTAGCATGTCACGTTCAATATACTTGCGTGACATAGTCAACATTTGTTACTAACTTGAGTAAGACAGTGATCAGCGCAAGTCGTACACCCTTGCCTGAAATATAGTTCCACGTTGGAAATATCTTGTCCAATACCTGTGAAATTTAGAGTGAATCAATCGTATTCAGATAGTTCTCGAAAGACTGAATCATGTGCATCACGTACAGACGATCCCTTGTTTGTTAGTATTTCTCTTCCGATTTTTGTCTCAAACAGGTTGGCAATGGTTCTCAGACCCATTGTTAAATTAATTTCTTGTTCTTTGGTAGCAGAAACATTTTTTGAGAATGATTCAAAATCAACGGCGTCGTACACTAATTGGAGTATCGATTCGTCCGAACTAGTGACAGGGATTGGATCTCGTATAACATGAAGACGGAATAAATCGAGACCTGAGAAGCAGAGTAATATGTGTTATTACGCATGTTAGGAACGTATTGCCTGAATGTAAGTTAATTGATATGTAGTAAATATTGTCCCACCTGGAAATCGCTTCTCGTAAGGCCAAGAGGTCATTATCTTTTTTATAACTGATAATCCTTCTTGCCGTTCTTTTGCATTGTTTTGACTATTGGATGAATCTTGGAGATACGAGATTAACACTTCTAAAGATTTCGTTTCCTCGGCTGTTAGATTTAGACCTTGAGGTTGTAAATCCGCGCTAAACTGTTGTATCTTCTTGAGGATTGGCGGTAGATTGGCTTGTTCGTAAGTCATAAATTTTTTCTAAAAAGTATATAGTTTCATGTAAAAATTAAGTCACCTAAAAACAAACCAATTTTGATATAATACAACTCACGCAGGGAATAATTGGATCTGATGCTGCAGCCTTTTCCGAGGTGGTCGATCCCGTCCATGGATCAATTCCGGCAGCGATACGACCCTTTGTTTTAGCTAATCAATTTAGTGTCTACAAATTCGTCATTATCATTAATACATTCATGCTCACCGGAGCACTGCTGGTAGAACTGGTTGAAGTTTCGGCAGCAGTATATCTTGATGTGCCAGTATAAGGATCAACGTTTCCGGATCCCGCTCCTAATGACGCACCCGTCGTATTTTGTCGAATGAAATTCGCTACTTGATCCAAGTATGACTGAGGCAAGCTGTTAGCCCAAATAAATTGCTGAGCTGCTTGATATGGGTTTTCTTATGCATGGCAATAAAAAGAACAACGTCAATAGTTGTTGCTTTTTCTAAAGAAATACGAAGGGTTACTGACGTACCGGTAATATTGTAAGGAAGTTTTAACGGAGGTATTCCGTCGCCAATATCGACACTAAACACGTAATCGTATTCTTTGCCATTGTAGAGTTGCCTTCTCTGCTGACCGACTGCATCTACAACTTCACCAAT